AGTGTTCAATATAGATGATGCATATTTAAATCTATAATAAATTTTCTTCATATCTACATCTATGATATTGATGACAAATATACTTCTTCTGACAAAGAGCGATTTGCAATTCACGTGGCTAGTTCTATGCACATGTCGGGCCTGGTCCCGATCTCATAACGGAATCGACATATTTTTTGAGAAGGCTTACTGATTGCTTTTATGTCTAATGTCTCTAATACCTCTATAGCAAGTGTGGGGCAATATCGTCTTAATTTGTTGAAGAATCGTAGTCCTTATTAACTCATATCGTCGTATTCTTTCCTGAGTACCGCATTTGATGTGACGCTTGAAATGGTGACTGTTTAATCGTATCTTATAGATTTTCAAAAGCGAAAAGCTTTTGCTAGTATCACCTTTCAAGTAGACAAAAAACTTCGTGTTTTGTTATGTTCTCGAAAAATTTCTGTCGAACAACGGTTTTTCAATGGAAACTAGAGATATTATTGTTCAGCTGACCTTCTGTTAATTATCAGCGATAATTTCAATGCACCGAAACTACCACGTGGTATTTTAATAGCTTCTACCCGTAACTAAGAATTGAATTATATCAGTTGTCTTCTGAGAAGTTATTAAGATAAACATAAAAAATTTTTCTTATCTGTAAAAATTTAAAATTACTCATAGAATTCAGCAATATAATAGAAGTTATTCTAGTGAGTATTCAGTATATGTACCCGAATTTGAGACATTTTGTATATAATAGTTCTATGCAATGCTACATATATTGAAGCAAAACAGTCAAGTGTAGAGAAAACAATAATCATTTCACTTAGTTTAAAGTATATACTGTCTGTTTATTCGACATTTACACTATTTATTAATAATTTCGTCTATAATTTAATTATCGATTAATAAATAATATTTCAAATAATTCTTTGTAGGTGCTATGCTCAAATCTCACTTTTCTTATACATGTATTATCTATATGGCTAATATTCAATCTACTCCTGAAGAAAGTGAGCGTCTATGGATGATACCATTTGTAGCTCAATTAACTGATGATTGTCGAGACTTTTATGAGGATTTTCAATCTAATTCTGTTACTTCATTTACACATTATGCATCATTTATTGGTCGTCAACAATCATCACATAAAAATTTACTGAATCCATTTTATGTATTTTTATATTCTTGCTGTGATATGTATTTATTATCTGGTTGTGATATGCAAACTGGTGCTTTTGTTGGTCGTCGTATAGCACGTACATTAAGATCAATTGAAATAAATTTAGGTGCATCTGCATTACGTGAATTTCTCTATTTATTTTGTGGTAATAATTTACCATTACATGATTATTTTTGGATATATGTTCGTAGTCGTTTTTCTAATGTTACTGATCCAGAAAAATCTTTGATTCGAGTAATTAATAAAGCAAGTATCAAATATGCACGAACAAATCGTAAATTAGAAACATATATTTGTGATCATCTGAAACAAGTTGAAGATGCTTTACATATTCATGCATTTAATAAAAATAAAAAATCATTATCAGTTATTGATCGAGATGAACAATTATTAATCTCAGCTATGAATTATAGTGTAACAGCTGGTGGTAAACGTTTACGACCATTATTAATGATGATGGTTTCTGATTTATACAATTTAGAATTGAAAAATGTTTTACCATTAGCTTGTGGAATGGAGTATTTACATACATCATCACTTATACTTGATGATTTACCAGCTCAAGATAATAGTGATCTAAGACGAGGTCGACCAACATTACATAAAGCAGTGATAGATGATGATATACCAGAAAACTTATGTGAAGGTCGAGCACAATTAGCAGCTGTTGATTTAATTGCTATTAGTATGAGTGTAATTAATCATGATCTTGTAAAAAATGGATTTTCACCTGAATGTGTAAATCAAGTTGTAACTGAGATATCTTTATCAATGCATGATTTATGTATTGGACAAATGATGGATCTACGTGCAGCACATATGGGTATGGAAAGAAAAAATGAACTCCTTGATGAACTTGATCATATTGCATGGTTTAAAACAGGCAAAGCAATTGAAATTGTACTTATTACACCAGCTATTTTAGCTATGTCATCTTCATCATCATCATCATCATCTGTAAATGTTCAATCGATAGATTTGAATAGTATTCGTGAATTAGGTCGATTAATGGGAATATTGTTTCAAATGCGTGATGATTTATTAGATGTTGAAGGAGAAAATATTGGTAAACCAGCAGCACTTGATGTAAAAAATAATACAGTAACTTACGTATCAGTATTAGGTGCTGAAGGTACCCGACAACGTTTAAAAGAATTTCGTCAACAAACATTGAAACTAGTTAATGAATGTTGGCCATCAGGTGCTGGAACAATTAAAGATGTGGTTAATTATATTGTTGATAGAAAAAACTGAGAAATAAAGCATGTATATTTATACATATATATATTTTTTCATTTTAATCAACTATAATAAATGTAACTAGATTTTAGTAAAAGAAGGAAGAAAAAAAAAATGTTAAATGTTAGTTGTTGATAATGAAATTTTGAATTTGATCGATTTGAAGGCATTGTTTTTTTTTCAATTGTTTTGTAATATATGATAACATTCATTTGACAAGTGTTTGTTGAGATTAGATACAACTGTCAAGCATTTATAATAATTTTCTATTATCAAACTTTAAAAGATATGGTGTAATAAATCAATATAAAGTTACTTTGCAGATATACTTTCGAAACTATTTATATCTAAGCTTTTTATTGATAAATTAAAGATCAAATTAAATATGTTTCTCATTTGTGATTTCTATTTCTAACTAATTATTTCCGTAGGAATACAATATTTTATAAGACAAACTTTATTTTTTTACACTTTTTCATTATAAAAAATTTATATGTCAAATATATAGTTATTTCATCATATCGATAAAAACTATGACGATAATATTCATAGTTAACATTACATGAATAAACATTGTCTTTGGTTTTTGGTTTGGAAGATTTGTTTTTAATATATTTACATAGAAAAGAAACTAAACAAGATAGACGTCGATGCCGGATTTCCCAAAGCACGAAGTGCTCTAGTCAATAATATCATTTTACAAATTGACTGCGAACATTCGCGCTCAGTGATTGTTACCGGTAAACATACCTTAAACGTTGTCACCTCTTTTATATTTGTTCAAAACACATATCCACATATTGTGTTAGTGTTCATAATTTTGTTTAAGATAATCATTATCAAACTATGAACATATTGATTTATTGTTCAGTTAGCATATAGTTAAATAATTGTTGAAAACATATTGTGATCAAAAAATCTTCCAGCATATTATACATTGAAGTCGATGAAGCTAATCAAATCGCGAAAACGTATATCAGTGAAAAGAAATAGAAAAAGAGAAAGAAACTAAAAGTCCGTTGGATGGATGTCCCATCGTCGACGTGTCTTTTTTTTTCGTTTCGATGTACGTGGGCATATAATTGCATTAATTCATATCGCTTCTTTTCTTTCTTTCTGTGTGTGTCTCTCTCTCTCTTTTTCGCTCTACGACATTTCACCTTTTTCGTCGATGTGTTTGTCTCTCTCTCTCTTTCTCTATTGTATGAAAAAAACGTCGCCTCAAGCTACAAGCAAAGAAAAGACGACTGAATGACCAAAATGTTTTTAAAGTGAATAAATGGTCAATAACTCTCGGTATTCATCAGTGCATTAAACAATAAAAAAAATATGCCTTAAGACAATTCTTTTTTTTTTTGTTTGACTGGTCATTAGAGCAATGACACCAAGTATCTTTTCAAAAGGTTGACGACGTTTTCTCTCGTTCTTGTTCTACTTATATACTACTGCTATCGAACCGTTTTTCGAAAAAAAAAAAAAGAAATAATGTGAAGAGTCGTCAAAGAAGAGAAGAAAAAAAACGTAAAATTCGTCTCGCATTTTTTTTTCATCAATCTAAAGAGCAAACATACGTACACGCACGACGAAATAGGCTACTTACCATCATCATCAAATGAAAAAGAAAAAAAAAAAAAGAAGACAACGCATAAAAAGAAAAGAAAAGCATGTCATGAGCACTATTACGGGTGTCGGTTTGCGTTGTCAAATGATGTCTCTCTTCTTTTTTTCTACTCTATTTACCATTCGTATATATTTTCTTTTTCTTCTTTCGCTCTATCTTACTCGTTCGTTCGTTTGTTGATGGTCAAATGTTTGCTTAGACAGGTAGTCACATGAAGTAGCTTACCTGGCCTAATTTTGTCGTCGTTGTCAAAGCCTTACAATGGTGCGTGTTCGCACACACACACCACACATTCAATACGTATAAGAGGGCTACTCCTGTTTCAGCAACAACACACACGAGCGCAAATAAAGCAATATATTTGCGTGTACATCGAAAATTGACCACTGGATCACATATATATAAAATATATATATATATGTCGATGGTGTCTGTTTGTCTGTCTACTCTTATCGTTGGAGATGACGATGTACAAAAAACGTTTGTAAGCAATATCGAAAACAGGCAACGATAGTGGAAACAAAGAGAACAAGAGAGAGTGTGTGTGTGAGCGAAAAAAGATGAATAAAGTATGGCCGTAAGCCGTTTTCTTCATCGCTCTGACTTTATCGCGACGACAACGGCAGAAAAATCATGCATCAAACATACACAAGCATTTTTCTTTCTGCACTCCTTTTGTATATTTCCTTTCGTTTATGGTTGTTTCTATCATCATTCTTATGTTGATTCAAATCCTATTTTAAACTAAAAAAAGAAGAAAAAAAAAAGAAACGACACCAGATCGAAACTTATAACAATAATCGTTATAGAGTATAATTTGTTAATGTTGTTGCGTAGGATAAAGATTGGTTTTGTTATATTTTTCTAAATATGACAAAACTTTGAACAGCAGGAGGGTTTTTATGAAAAATAAAATTTCTATCGTTTTTAAAATTACATTCAACGAAAGAAAAATAAAACATCTTGTAAATAATGAATCGCCGAGAACGACGTACAAGACCAAATAAAGTAACACGAACGTATCCAATTTATACTATTTCTTCATTAGAATTAAGTAATGATGATGACGATGAAAGTATCATTGAAATAAAACCTATCAAACGATATCGACGTCATCGAAAGCAACCATTAAGAGTCGAACTGCAAGAATCAATCGATCAATCTATTGTTACCGGTAAAAATATAAGAGAATAAATAGACATTCATAAATATTGATAATTAAAGTAGTAAATGCATTTTTATCAAATCGTTATTTTATATTAAATCGATGAAAGTTTTTCTAACAAAGATTAATTACATATACGATTTAATTTAGATAATCAAAAATCACAAATAATACAAGTTGTACCAAAACGAAAACAAAAATCAACAACAATACAAACAGATGAGATACCTACTGTTTTATCAGCAAAAGAAAAGAATGAAAAATCATCGGTTAGCAATCGAAATTTTTTCTTTGAAGTGATCTTATCTTAGTAAAAATTATTTAAATGAGATTAAAATATAAATATATTTTATCGACTGATAATAATATTTACAGTTGAAATTATCATGTATCAAAAGTATTTTAAATCCATAATATCTAATGATATATAATCATTTAGTAGTTGAATTTCATCTGATACTATCGATTACGTTCGATAAAATTTTTTTTTTTTTAAATTTCTTATGTAATGATATATAGTTTCTTTTTTTTGTTGGTTATTATAAAACTCTCATCAATAGAGTTGATTAAGTACTATCTTATGCATACGATTGTGACTATTGCAATCGTCTTTCTATTTATTCTATACTCGCTTACTTAATATTGGTTGTAAATTCTTCATATTCTACCTCTTCGTGATAAGTGACTATTAAATATGATAAGAGTTTATTCCTTTTCAATATTAATTCTAAAAGACAAATATGTTATAACTAAATCTCTTATTCTATCTGATGACTATTAAATATTGTTCTTTGTCTTATTTCAGAAGTTTCTTGAAGATTCATTTTTTTTACCTTACACAAAAACAAACGAATCTATGACATGAAAGTCTTGATACAAAATATTCACTCATTTTTTTAGTCATCTAAAGGCAACTGGTTAGAATCAAAAGTAGTTAATTAGATTACTTAAAAATAGTGTTGGTACAGAATACAAGTTTGATCAGTTTTGTATTTCAACTGATAAATCATTAAATTTAAAATGCGAAAAATATTTTTTCATGGCTTAACATTTTCTACAAAGCGTACTATTGATTCCTGCATGACAGATTGTAAAACTTTTGTATTTTGACAAACAGTTTTTGAAAAAGCAATTGCTAATTCGCATAGAAACTAGCTCTAGTAGAAAGAAATTTCGCCTATTCTAGCATCTTATTTTGTACGAAATTCAGTACTCGATAATAATGTTGAATTGGAGTTGTTACAAAATATGAACTAAGTACGCCGCCAAAGTTGGTATTGTACTTTGTATAGACACAATTTTGGACTTCTTTCATAAAATTTACTGATAGTTGTTTAATTTTATTGTAGAAGGAAAATCTGAACATACACTCGGAAAGAGCAAAAAAAATTCTGTTTCTAACCTGTTGCCGTTTAGTGGTCGAAAATCAAACGAATATATTGTATTAAGACTTTCGCGCTATAGCTTATTTCAATTGAGAAGAATATCCAAAGGAGAACAAACTGATTTATATGCTAGAGATTATTGTAAATCACAGAAAATCTACAATAATAAGGGTAAAAATAAAGTCTTGATTTTTCTTCATTTCAAAGTATTTACGATGATTCCTATTAATTCGTGATGAGCAAATAAAAAACTGATTTTTCTATGATAAAAGTTACTAGAAATCAAGAAATCAGTTTGTTTCGTCTTGATGGTATCATGAACACCTCGTATTCGTAGAAGAGTATTGGAAGACACTTAAGAAACTGATTATTTTTTTGTTTATATATGTATATTCAAGATTGGCTGTGAGTATAGTATTGACAGCACAACACATTCATTGTCATAAAACTAGAGGGTTAGTAGTTAGAGAAAATATTAACTATTAAACTTCTTCTAGTATTTTTTAACAATTTCCCCTTCAAGAATATTGGATGATGCATTTCGTCCTAAAGGTTTAATCGACTTAGCCATCATAATTTTAGAGAACTTAAAGAAACTACTTAGATATGATAGTATCAATATATTCAAATTTCTTCCATAATTTAGAAAAAAAAATCAACTATATGCAATCATCGATGTCTTCGAATATTTTCTTTAATTCTTGCGATATTTATCTTAATTATTTCATTACTTCTTCTTGCTTTTTCAATCAATCTATTAGTTAATCCAAATATGACTAAAATACGTTCAGTAGCAATTGTTTATCCACAAGCAATTCCATCATCAGGTTTTACTGGTAAAGGACCAACTGATACTCTTATTGTTACTGCAATTATTGGTATTATAATTAGTAGTATCATATTGATTATTTCAGTATTTACTATAATATGTCTTATATGTATTAAATTTCGTTATTATGGATTCTTTTTTTGTATTGGACCTATTCTACTTATTATACTTTTTTTAATATTAATTGGTTTTGCAATATTTATTGGAATCATAGGTGATACAGAATTACAACGACTTGCATATAGTACAAGAACAACAGTTTATTATTATTATAATTCAACAAGTACAACACTTGTTCGTGATGGTTGGGATTTTGTTCAATATTATTTTAGTTGTTGTGGTGTAAAAGATAATAATACAGATTGGTATCCAGCACCAAGTACAGGTTGGAAATATAATAGTCAATTACCTCGTTCTTGTTGTGGTTATGATTCAAATGATGCTGGACATGCAGGTCGTATATTTGTTGGTACTGATATACCAACATTAATTGGTATATGTTATTATGGTGATATAGGTCAACCAACTTGTTATGATAGTATTAAAACTAATCTTCTTGTAACTGTTTTAGTTTTTCTTATTGGTCTTGCATTTATTGTACTTGTTCTAGCTATTCTATTTATTATTCTTATTTTTATTTATCGTACAATTCATCATCGTGTAGAAAATCCTATTAAAAAATAAGTTTTTCCTTTTCCTTTTCCTTTTTTTTTTATATTTTATATAAAATATAAATTAATGATGATTAACATTAGTTTTATCACTAACACTAATAACAGTATCACTTTGTCCTATTTCATCATTTATTTGTTGTCCAATTGGATTGTCAATACCATTATGTAATGATGATGTTGAATTTTGTATTGTACCATCAAGTAATAATTGTATTCGTCTACCTGTATAAAGTTCTTTTAATTCTCGACGACATAAACCAGTAATTATTGTTGATAAAAGTAAACATGGTACAAGATAAAGTAATGCTGGTTGAGCTGTATTCATTAAATAAAGTGCAACATGAGTTACAGATAAACCAATAAAATAGGATACTATTGATTGAGTATAATAAATAGGCCAACGATTATTACTAGCTATATCAAATATTTTACAAAATGTTAATAATATACCCTAAAAAAAGAAAATAAAAATATGAAACATGATGTAACTACTCTTGCTAATATTTATTGTTATACTATCTTTGATTATATATCAACAACATCTGTCAGGATCCGTATGGAGGGAGGAGGAGGCACAAATTTCTATCCTGTATACTTCAACACTATTTTTAGATTGAGTTTCACAAGATGCAAAAAAAAAAGGGGAATTCTTTACCGGTAAAATGATGTCACCATAACCAAGCATTGATTTTTGTATAGTAGCACATGGATCAATTTCATTTTCAGGTATAAATGCAGGTAAAATAAATAACAATGGTACAACTTCACCATTTGTTCCAATACCTAAAGCAACTTGTTCCATAACAGATGGATTTCGTATTGGTTTTCGAGATATTATATAAGTAGTTGATGATGATCCAGTTGATGGTCCTACTGTTGTAGTTTTAGTAGACCTTGAAGGATTTGATGATTGTTGAAATATTGGAATATATGGTGTAATAAAAACAAAAAATATATCATAGAGAAAAAATACAAGTAAGATAATTGTAATTGCACGCATGTTACCAAGTCGATAGATAGAAGTTACAGTAATACAAATCGCTGCACCAAGTATATTTTGCAAAATCCATGCCCAATCAGTATGACGATATACATACCAAATAATTACAAGTGTTAATGATATAGACATGGCAAATAATGTAAACATATTTAATGGACCTAATTGACAGACACATGGTTTATGAATTGTATGCGATGGTGTTGAATAACGACGAAGATATGGTACAAATTGACTTAAACGATCGAAACATGATGTTAAAGATGAAAATGCACCAATACAAAATATAACTAAAAATATAAGTATGACAATTGAGAAGATGTTAAGGTCTTTATGGTGACGAGAATATCAGTACACGTTTTATCATGCTTGACTTTATCAACATAATTGAGTAATGATGATCTTCATCATCTACTTCAAACTTTGCTATCATATAGCAGTATGAATTAACTTTCATCAAACTACCAGTGTCTAATATATTTGGATCTTTCGTCTCGATAGTATTGGGTATAGTTTTTGAATAGAAGTTCAAAAAAAACTGAAGAGAAACCAGTTCGTGTCAGACTTGTTTTCGTCCCACTATGACAGTTTCAATGACATAATCTATAGTGCGAAAGTCTTGGCACAGGAGATTCACTCATTTTTTGGTCATTTAAAGACAACTGGTTAGAGTTAGAAGTAGTTAGTTAGAATCAGAGTTTATTGCCGAGGTAGGATTGAACAACTATCATCAGATTGTTGCAAAACAGTCTGTGTGCAAATTATTGTTTTCGTCAATTTTGTTGTTCGATTAAAAAACCTATCAAGTTCAAAATATGTGTGATCGCCAATTTGTATAGAAACTAGTTCTTTAGTAGAAAGAAATTTCGCTTATTCTAGTCACTCATTTTGGATAGAATTCAGTGTCCTACAATAATGTTGAGTTGAAACTCTTTCAAGACACAAACCACATAAACTGAGGACTACGACAAAGCTGGTATTTTGCTTTGTACAGACAATATTTTAGACTTGTTTCACCAAAATTTATTGATAGTTGTTCAATTTTACTTGAAAAGGAAAATCTGAAAATATATTCGGAAAGAGCGAGAAACTAGACGACTGGCTCTCTTAAGAGATGCAAGAATTGTGACTATTTCATAAGATCTTTGAAATGCACAGTCAAGCAAAATGTTGTAGAATCCTGCCGATGAGTCCGTGGAGAAGTTTGAAGTCTTATATCATAAAACGGATCTTATAAAATCTAACTTCCGATGACCTGTAGCATAAGAGCTATCGTAGTAGCGACAGCTTCATTGAACAATGATGATTCTGAAACTCCACGGTAAGCTATGAAATTCTAGTTGACTTCATGTTAATTTAAAAGATTTTGTTAATTCTCTAGTACTTTCAGATTCGAAATTCTTTGTTACCGCTCCGCATATAGCCTAGAGGAGATAGATGATCGCACAAGTTCGAACCTACGCAAGAGCTCAAAATGTGTTTTATAGATTTCCTGTCGTTGAAGAGTTAAGGAATAGGTATCTGCTCTAGAAATTTGTTATCAATAGAATGTTAGTTACATGTCAACAGTATTCTATATCGATCACACTAGTCGAACACATGTAATCTTCTTCTTTTCTCTATATTCTTTCATGCTAATCAGCACGATACAGATAAATAGATGACTTGTATTAATTGAAATAATGTACTCTTATAGTTTTTGTCAGATCATCATCATCATCATTTATGTTAGAGAACATAGCGACTATGCTATTAGTTTGTCATTTACTTTTCCACTATTGAATAAGCTAACTACATTAGATGCTAATAGATTTCAACATTCATTAAAGTCTTATCTATCGTCTTGCTTTTGTCTTCTGTTGTTAAAAATATACTATATCTCAAAAAATATGTAAAGCCAATATTTACCTTGTAGTATATATATCATTACTTTTGGAAAATAATAAAGTAACAAAAGCCAACCAACAGCAAAGCAAATAATAAGTATAATAGCACAACAAGTCATAGGAAGCACTGCTGGTTCATTATTTTCTGATGTTTCATTTGGTGTAATAGAATTTTGTTTAGTTAATATTTTTGATATTGATCTTTCATTTGTCAATGATGTTGTATTTAAATCAGATAATTCATGATTTGTATCTAAATTCTGTTTTCTTATTTTATTTTTAAATTCATCAGCTGCCCAAAAATTACCACATAGTAAAATAAATAATACTAATAAAAACATTAATAATATAGCTGGACGAAATTTTCTTATCATCATAAATGGATAATCAATTGATAATTCAATATTATTTAAATTCTCATATTTATTATTCATTTTAATAAAATCATTTCTCCAAAAAATTAATACTGGAATTGTAACAGGCATTAATGTTGCATTATATGATAATTCATAACGAGTATTTGTTCGATTTATAATTATCATTAAAGAAATTTGTTGTCCTAAATAATATTTTTCAATATTCCATGCATGTTCAGTCATTTTACATTCATGTTCATAAATAATAAGAGTTGTATTTGATGGTAATGTATTAGGTAAAGACTCATTTAAACTTGATATATTACAAGCGTTAACAGATGGTGATGATAGATAAGGTGAGTGCCAACCAAAATTTTTAATATCTACTGTACGATTATTTGGTAATTTAGCAAGTTCAATACAGTAACGATGCATATTCGATGTGGATAATGTTGAACGAATAAGTAAATTGATTGATTCATCGGTATAACTGAAGACTGTTGGAAAAAATAATAAACAATATAACAATATTATTGTTACCATCTTTTATCTAAATGGAAGAATAAAACAGATAAAACATAGGCATGAAGATATTTTAGTTTCTTGTTGCATATATATTATTCTCACTAATGTCACATTTTTTCTTTCACTCCTTCCTTTCTTTTATTTTCCGCTAGAATTACCAGCTGTCGTCCATTGTATGTGGGTTATGCTCTCTAGTATATATGTGTTTTTTTCTTTTTAATTACGTTTCATAATGCATCCAATTCTGGTTGTTTTTCTTTTTAGACAAAAACTAACAGCTATCACTTAATACATACTGATCATATATAGATAAAGATTAGTAACTGTCAGTCATAAAAAAAGACTACAAAAAAAAAAGAATATCAGAGTTAATATCGAAGAAATTTTGACATTTATTCGACATGCTTTTTTTTTCTTCCTTCGTTCTGTTCTTATTTTTATTTCATGTAATATGAGACAGAAAAAAAAGCAAGTCTGGATTTAGATTGAATTTATATTTGACAAATATTTGCCAATCTATATTTATAGTTCATATACGCGATCAATGTTCTTCAGCTTTTTTTTTCTCTTTTCGTAGTGTAAACTTTACTACACCAAGGTCAACAGAATAGAGAAGAAAAAGAAATGTTTATTCATATAGTACACACTTTTATACATGTACATATATATATATATATATATCGACAATGAGAAGGTCGAACCTTTATTAACATATTCTCTATCATATGATTAATTCAGCTCAACTTGTTTATACATATACAATGAAGCAGATTTTCACTATTTTAATCCTTGTTTTTTTACCAATATGTACTGAACAAATATCAACTATAATCAAAGATCCATTTGAATATTTTAAAAAACTTGCACGAGATACACAAATCTATTCACAATGTGATCGTATACCTCCATTTAAAATTCAATTGGATTCAACATTTTTTGATATCGATTTAAGACAATGGGATCGAAAGAAAAATCCACCACCATTACATCGTGCACTTGAAGCTTTTGTTCAATTGGATACATTAAGACAGAGTACTTATTTTAGTCATATTCTTCAAGGCAATAGTCAAGCAAATGTACCAGGTATATTAAATCGGGATGTTCCGAAGTCATCAGGATGATAGAAGAGCGTTTTTTCTTTGGAACTGATGAGCAAAGCAAACAATTAAACATCGAACCTTGGCTGAAGAAAAACGAAAATTTTTCAAGATTAGGCAAAGATCATCTCTTTGACTCTTTTCCATTT